GGGTATATCCCTGTAAAAGCGAGGGTATATCCCTGTAAAAGCGAGGGATATATCCTTATAAAAGCGAGGGAGGTGCCGCTCCGAGATCCTCGGAGCTGGGAGGCCGCCAGGCTGCTCCGCCAGGAATTCCCGCTGTGCCCAGTTCTGGGGATTTAGCCCCTGCTGGGGTGGTCTGGACAGGCGTCGGTTGGCGCTTGGAATATGGGAATTGCGGAGCTTACGGGTTGTGGAGAAGTGGGATGGTCCTCGCGGGTCGTTCCCGGGTGGGAAATCACCCCGTGATTCCTGAAAGTGGGATATATAATAACCTTGGGACAGTGTTCAGGGGTTGGAAGCAGCAAAACTCCTGGATGGATTAAAGGAAATGGATCTAAGGGAAAAGAAAACCAATCCCAAGGTGGGAATTTTACTCTCCCACCTGGATGAAACTTCACGGGGATGAATTCCAGCATCTTCCTGCCTCCTTTTCCAGGTGGACAGGGAAAAACATCCAAGTTTGTGTAGTCAGGAGGAGAGTTTTTAAGTTGTGGTTGGGAATAATGAAATTGTGGCTTTGGGAAGGCGTTGATCCCTGGGTGTTCCTGACACTGGCACCACTGGAAAAGGCTTTCCAAGTAGGAAACGTGATCCAGGTGAAGGTATTTGGTGTCCCAGGTGTTGGTTTTCGGGGTCATGAAAGTTCCTTGGGGGTCTTAAAGCTTCTGATGGAATTCCAGCTGGGCCCTGGGACTGTGTGGGCTTGGATTGGGAATGGCTGAGGGGGGTCTGGAATGACAAAAAGGGGCAAAAAGCTTGGAACAGCATCTGGTACCTTGTAAATAATACAAACAACCTGGAATTTCTCCAGCCAAAACCAGAAAGGAGAAGTGTAATTTTTCCCCTTCAAGTCAGGATTTAAATAAGAAATTTGCGATGCAGTTTCTGAAGTTTTGCTTCATAACATGCTGGAGAGTCAGAATTCCAGGTTGAAGGATAATGCATACATATTGCAGGTGCTGGTTTTGTTAGTGCTGACCCAAAAACCCTGTGTTTGATCCCAATTCCAGTTTAAGGCACTGGGACCTGCAAAATCCAACCAGAACCCCAGGGAAAGGGATAAAATTCCCCAGAGTTCTGTTGTTTGTGGGAAAGAGGCAGTGAGGAAGAGAAACTTCCCTATTCCTCTTCCAGAGAGTTGGGGAATAATGGGGCTAAAATTGAGGAACTGAGGGAGGGAAATGGGAAAATCCTCCTTCCAAGGCCAAAAAATATCCTAAAAAATTAGGGAAATTGGGGAAAGCAAAGTGGGATTAATTGGGACTTAATTCCTCCAAACGAGGGCACTTGGAATTCTGAGCTGCAGTATCAGGGATGGCTTTGCAAAAATAGGATTAAATCCCTTTTCCAAGCTTCTGTGCTGTAGAAAACTCTCCTTAATCCTGATTTTTGGAGGGTTGGGGGGTTTTTCCAGCAGCTGGAAAAATATAGGAGGGGAAAGTGTTAAAATTTGAGGGTGGGAAACGGCTTGGAAAAGCTTCCAGTCTTTCCCAAGGCTGGGAATTATTTATTAAACTTCCTTGGATTAAACCAGCAGCGATTCCGATCTGTCCCAAACATCCCTGTCTTGCCTGAAGGGGTTTTTTGGGAATTAAGACTTTTTTGGGAATTAAACTGGAACAAGCAGCTTTGTTTTGGGAACGTGCACCTGCTTTTCCTTCCCCCTCCCATTCCTTCATTCCCAAATAAATAATATTTGCTCCAAACTCTGCTCCCGACAGGGATCCAGCTGACCCAGAGGAACATCCCGAGCCGGATTCAGCCCTGGAATGTGAGGAGATTCCACAGAAAGATGCAGCAGTGGAGATGGGGTGAGTGAGACCATTGAAATCCCCTCCTGGAGCTGCAGGGCTGGAATTTTTAGGGAGAAAGGAGCGGATGAAAGTGTCCTTTGTGCCATGGGACAAACAGGCTTTTGTGGGATCTGTGGAGAGCTTGGAATGTTTCTTCCTGCTGGGATAGTTTGGAGTCAGTCAAACTCTTCCCTCCAAACCAGTTTGAGCTGATATTTCCCTGATAAATCCATGGGACTGTGGATTTAGGGATGTCATTGTGGGGATCTCGGAAGGGAAATCAGAGGGGGAAAAAGGTGGAGAATTTTCCGGGTGCAGCAACTCAGAACTTTTAAGGTGGAAGAAATTGGGATGGTTTTCCAGGTTTTGATAAGAAATGGGAAGTTTGCTGGATTGAAATCAGATTTCTGGGTGTTTTGAGAGCACAGGGAGTCGGTACCGAGATTTTTATCCTGCTCTTTTTTGGTGCTGGAAACTGGAAAAGGTTTTTTTTATGGAGTTAAATGCATGTAAAATGTGCTTCTAAGTGATTGAAAATTCCCATAAAACAGTGGATTATTAATTAATTTAATTAATCAAAACATCATTCAAATTTTAGGAAGGATAATGTGGAAATTAGGATATAATGGATATTCTGGGAGCAGCAGAAGTGCTCCAGACCCTGTAAAATGTGGGGTAAAAAGTACTGCTGGAGCTCCTGGAGGATTTGGGATAAAGGATGGAATTCCTTTAGGAAAAGCATCCCTCTCTCCTCAGAGATTTCTGCTTTTCCTTCCTCCTTTTTATCCCTTTCTTTCCTCCTTCCACTGGATCCCTTACCTGGGATTTCTTTGAAAAGATGTCCAGCTAAAAGATGGAATAAAAAGCTTTGGAATATTTGCCTCTCCCTTGCAGCAGGAGTAGAAAATCCTGTCAGGAATTCTGCCCTGGGCTCCTAATCCCTTAAATTCCAGACTCTTTTTTAACTCAGCTCCTTCCTTAACTGGACTTGTGCTCCTGCAGATCCCTGGAAATCCTCCTCCCGCCCCATCCACTGGCATTTCTCTCCCTCTTTTTCTCATCTCCTTCAGCTTGACTTCAAATATCTGTGGAATTGCATGAAAATTCCCGGCTTTTCATTCTCTCCAAGCTGAGATTTTGGTTCCTGGGCATGGAATATTTTAATTGCCTTAGTGTGGAGTTAAAACCAAGTGGGTTCCTTGGGATGGTTTGGAGCCTAATGAGGATTTTTCCCTGTAAACGGGACACAAGGTGCAGTTTGGAGTCTTAAATTCCAAGTTTCCTGGTGTTTTTCACTTTCCATTTCCCCCAGGAAAGGTCCCAGAGCAACTCCTGGATAATCCATAAATATGGGAATGCCACCTTAAATAGGTGCTCTGAGTGTTTTCCGTGGGTTTTTTCCTCTGGAACATGTTTCCTTGGGATTTCTTGGCTTAGAGGAAAGGTTATCCCATGGACCTGAGTGATCCCGAGCTTAGATCAAGGCAGGATTCAGGACAGAATCCTAATTTCCTGAAGAACAAGGAATAAAATGGTGAATCCATCAGGCCACCTTAAAAAAACTGCGCTGGATAATGGGAAGAGGCAGGAGAATCCAGGACATTCCCGTTGTAGTTCGGGGCAGTAACTACAATGGGAAGGGGGAGACTGGGGGGGAATTCAGCCTTTCATTCCCTGAAAGGGGCTTTTCTTCCCTGAAAAACTCCATTGGAAGCAGTTCTGCTGCTCTGGGGCTGCTGGAAGTTGGAATTTCCACAGTGGGATGGAATTTAATATTCCATTAAGTCCCAGCTTGTCTTTTCATCCCAAACCCCTGTCATTTGTGCCTGATGTTGACACAACCCAGATGTATTTTTGGAATATGGATTTCAGCTCCGAACATGGAGCCTCTGGAGGCCTGGCTTTTCCCACTGGATCCTCTCAATGATCCTGCAGATTGGCGGCTTGCTCCCATGGGAGAGGAACTCTCTCACCTCCTAAGAAAATCAGGACAAGTCAGATGCTGCTTGTGGCTTTGCAGCAGCCTGGGAACGTCCCAAAAAAAAAAGTGGATTCGGCCCTTTCTTTGCTGGATCCTTCCCTTTTTTTATCTGGATCCCACCCTGCTTGTGCTGGATCCTGCCCTCCTTGCGGCAGATCCCACCCTCCTTGCCCTGGATCCAGCCCTTCTTGTGGCAGATCCTTCCTGCATCCCATATTTACAGTCCTGGAATGGTCTGGCTTGGAGGGGCCCTTGAAGCCCATCCCATTCCCACCCCAACACCTCCCACTAATCCAGGTCGCTCCAAGCCCCGTCCAACCTGGCCTGGAGCATCTCCAGGGATCCACAGCTTCCCTGGACAGCCTATTCCCTGGGCATTCCTTACGTGTTTTTCATCCCAATTCCAGTCAACACAAAACCTTTTTTCCAAGTTCTCTCCAGAATTCCATCCTCAAACCCTCTGGCAGTGGCGGAGTTTTCCCAAGCCAGTGCCCTGCCCTCCATTCCAGGCTATCCCAGCCTTTCCACCTCCCCAGTCCTGCTTTACCTCTCGGCCGGATTTAACCTTTGGAGCCACATTCCTGTTTTCCCTGCTCACATTCCTGCTGATTCAGCAGTTTGTCACCATCTCCATGGCACCAGAGCATCCGCTGGTGACATCCAATAAATCAGAGCGCTCGGGGATGAACCGGATTTTCCTTGGAGAAGGGAAACACGAGCCCTGCCAGAGGAAGCAGGAAAACTTCCCGCTTGCTCCACTGAAAGTCAGAGAAGTTCCATCCTTAAAAAAAAGCGAAGCAGGAGTTTGTGGTTTCTCAAGCTGTGGATCTTTGTTTTCTTCCCTGGGTAAAACAGGGAATAAGGATGGATTTCTTGGAGAGATTCCCATCCCCTCACCTCTCATTTTTCCCTATTTTCTTTCATTCCGAGTCTTCCTTCTGAGCTTAATTTGGGGCAAAAATATTCCAGCATATGGAAAAAAGAACACTGGGAAGTGAGAGGTGCTTTTCCTGAAGCATTCCATCCGTATTCCAAAGATGGAAAGATGGGAGCTTTCCTAAAATCCAGTGGTGTGAGAGGAACATGGGGCAAAATGTCTTTGTGGAGCTGTGGTGGTAAAACTTGTTCCTGTGGGAATCCATGGCTGGAAAACCTTTTTCCCTCTAATTTTTATGGCTCTTCCTGGATCAATGTGTTGCTTTTGGAAAAGACTCTTTATCCCTATGGGTTTTGTTAAAAAGAGGGATCGTGAGCTCTCCCATTTGAACCCCTGGGAACAGCTGTGGGGCCATTGTGGAATTTAACTCCGTAGGGAATGGGGGCATCCGCAGATCCAGCGTTATCCTTGGTTATTCCAAGTCTGGGATAAAGAGCTTTGGAACCCTTAGTTTGCTTTGGTGGTGGCAAAGAGAATTTATGGATTCTGGGAGGCCTCGCTCCGACTGTTCCTCTTGGATGAGGGCGGAGGAGCGAGCAGAGGCGGCTCCGGAGGCGGGAATCACGTGGGAAGCTGCAGAAAAGGCTCATTCCTCGGGGAAGGGGTGGCTGAGTAAGTGTGGAGCCTCCTGGGAATTCTGACAGAGCTCCTGAAAATCTCCTGCGGGGCAGGGAGCGGGAATTTGGGGGGGGAAGTGGGAATGTGCCGACCTTGGAAGTGTCTCTGTTATTAATGTGCATTTATCTCCATTTATCCTGGAGAAAAGGGGGATCGGGGCGAGCTTCTCATTCCCTACAAATCCTTGCCTGGATGTTGGAGCAAGGTGGGATCAGACCCTTCTTCCAGGGAATGAGTGACAGGAGAAGAGGGAACAGCCTCAAGTTGCAACAGAGGAGGTTTCAATTGGATATCAGGGAAAATTCCTTCATGGAAAAGGTGGTTGGGCATTGAAACAGGCCCCATCCCTGGAGGGATTTAAAATCCCTGTGGATGTGGCAGTTGGATATGGATTAGTGGTGGCCTTGGACGGTTGGATTTGGTGATCCTGAAGGTCTTTTCCAGCCTTAACCCTTCCATGATTCCCTGTGTGCTGAAGGTGCTCCCGAGGATTTGGTTTCAACTCTTCCCGTGTCCTTCATGGCATAAAGAACCTGTGGGTTGTGTCCAGGGATTTCCAGGCTCCTTGGATGTTTGTTCCCTGGAATGGCTTGAGACCCCGATTTCCAGCCATTCCTGGTTGGAACTCCGGGGATTATCCCATCCCACCTTTATTCCTCGGGCACACAAGGCTTATTTTGCTCCTCAAGGGGATGATCCCACCATGGAATGGTGGTTTTCCTTCTCCTGGGAATGGTGGAGAGCAGAGGAATTCCCCCTCTCCTCCATATCCAGGAGCTGCTCATCCTTGTTCTCCGGAGCATTTGGGCTGTTCCAGAGGAGCTGGATGAGTTGGGATGGATACCCCAAGACAGTAGGAGCTCCCAGTGGAATAATGGATGGGAGAGAGTGCCCGGAATCAGGGACAGGGAGGGGGATTTTGGCCCGAGGAAGACTCTCAGTTGTGGATTCTGGGAATGGCGGGGGTTCAGGCAGCGGAACTGATCCGGGGCGGATCCGAGCGGCTCCGGCCACTCCCAAACCCTTCTGGCTCAGGGGAGCGGAAGAGAATCCGGCTGTTTGTTCACCGGGTGCTCATCCAAAGGCTCCGATTGATTTGATCCCACGTGGCAACCGGGAGTGGGAGGGGCTCCGGAACCTCCTTGGAGGTGAGTCCCTGGACAGGCCGAGGAAAAGGCAGAGTTGCCCAAGGAAACATGGAAATTTATCCAGCAGGAGTATCCCCGGCTGTGCTTCCATCCACCTGAGCTCCTTATCCTCCTAAACCGTGTGCTGAGGGACAGGTCAGTCCTGGAACATCCTGGTTGGACGGGATCCATGAGGATCCTGGAAATCTGACTCCGGTTGCCCTTTTTGTCCCTGGCTGCCCTCGTGTTTATCCAATGGAAAACTGGTTTTCCAGCTGCTTCCTTTCCTCATTAACTCTTCATTGATCACCAAAAAGCAGGATCTGGGTGGGGGTGGGTTGGGGAGAGCGGGAGC